AAACAGCTGTCAGATCGGAGCTACTAGCAAGAGTGAGTAAACACCAGCAATACCGTGGACCAGGTAATCGTTACCAAACTTCAATCTTTTCCCTGTAGGAAAAGCTGTTCTTCAATCAAGACACATCATCGCGTTATGGTAAGCTGTCAACCCCCCCCCACTCTCCCCTCAAATGTTCTCCTCCTGTACGAGCTTCTTTCACAGTTTTCCCAAATTTTTGAGGGGGAGGGAGTCTAGAGTGCACGTGAAACGGGGAAAACCTCAAAAACGGAAAATCCTTTCATGAAAAGCGGCAGGAGCACTTTGATGACCGTACCCCTCTCCGCCCACTGCCCGAAAGACGACCCTCTATGGAACTTTGCCAAAGATGAGCACCTAAAAAACCCAGAAAAAAATCAACAGTCAAAGAATTCTCTCTAGGGCAATAACCAACAACTACCTGCTCTCTCTCAAAAATTAGGGGCTACTGCGATGACGAAAAGTGCAGACTGGTCCCTCCCTAAGCACACAGCGCCCTATTTTCAAAATTTGTGGAACATGTACTCGACACACATACAAACAAGCGAATCGTGTAAATATTTCAAAAGTAAAGTGAAAATTGATGTTTTCCACTGAGGAGGTACATTTTGGTGTAAAGCCCAATATGTACAAAACTAAATCAGTTTCTCTTTTATGGTGGTAGCCACATAACTTTCGAAAACGACGAGAGCTCCTTATTGCACAAAACAAGTGGAGCGCCCTCCCCCTCTACCCCAGAAATCCTTCAATCGGGTTCAGGCAAAATAAAACCCGTATCCCCCAGCTCACAAATGCTGCCCCCCCTTCTTTCAGTACTAAATACTACCTAACATGAGAAAAAAAAACGTGAAAACAATGTCCTCAGCATTGGTCATCTCCGAATAATTGCTCCGGGGAAAAGTGACTATCGTAATTCGACGAGGTATTACACCAAAATACGCACCTATACTGTAATCAGGACTTGTCGTACGTTGGGAAGCCCCAACGTAGAATCGTGCTTTGTCTACAGGGGAGAGAGTCGTGAGAGTCGTACTATTTCGCCTGGGAAAAAAAATCCCGTAGTCGTTTCCGCTCCCACCCTCCCCTCCAGCCGAGAGACTACTATAACTACTATTTTTGTTAGATGACTGGAGGTGTCATCTCTTCGTCGATGGTTAATTCCCTGGAAAATTCAGTAAAAATATGGTCGTTCGGTTGTGAAAGAGGGGGAGGGGTGTAACGGCGACGGAATGTTGGCGGGGGGAGGGGTGGATCATATTTAGCAGTTCTCCAACGAGTGCGTGCTCTAATTTTAAAGCGCGTAGAAATTTACTGTGAAATTCATCCATCTCTGTGTAATCAATGGAAGTGCAAATACGTATTGTACACCACTGACAGCCGACTACAACGTGAAACGCGCTAAATATATCCGTTAGGGCTATCAAACCTTGTGATTCATAGAAAACCTCAAAGAAAAACTTCTGCTTAAATTAAAATCTGAGAAAGAACGAATTCTGAAAGTTACTTTTGTAACTTTTCGCAGAATAGGTGGAAACAGTTGAAGATCTCTATTAAAGGATTTGAAATAAAACAATAAACGTATTATAAT